CTTTTCACTTTTCTCTTCATTCTCTAGTTTTCTTTTTATTCTGTTTTCTTAATCAATTTTTCTTACAATTTTATCCTATCATTTACACTAACGTATAGAGAATATTTATAATATCCCATAAATTGATAAAAATTGAAACTTTAAGTTATCCTAGTGAAATTTTGATTCTTTGTAAGAACGAAATTATTCATAGCGGGAATATCATCTCAGTTTCTACTTCCCTTTTTCTTGACCTTTTTTTCTTCAATACCAATTGAATTTTTTTCTCCCTGTTGACTGATTTGTTTTTTCTTTCTTTCTTTTTTAGCAGAACTTTCCAGTGGCTAGAAATACATTCATTATTAGGGATGGTACATTACAATTTCTGAATATGAATCACAATTTAACTCAATCAAATCAACCACAGACCCTTAGATTACAGACTATGGTACCTCACTCAACTAATGTGGGGACAACCATAAGAGCACCTCAAATGACAGCTATACCCAATTCTTCAGTGATTACATCCAGAAGTGGTCAAGTACAATTAAGCCAACCATTAACCATTCAAACCACCCCGGCAAATGCCCAAGCTGCATCTTCACAACCATCTCAAATGTCACCAAATACTGCTAAGATTAAGTGCAAAAATTTTCTTTCCACTTTGATAAGACTAGCCAGTGATCAGCCAGAACAAACGGCAAATAATGTTAAAAATTTGATCCAAAGCCTAATTGTAAGTTTATTGTATGGACCAACAGAATTTCACCTTTTGTATCTCATTAATGTGACGAATTATATTTTTGTGACCATTGTTCTCATTTATTGATTTCAATTCATATCTAGGATGGAGTAATCGAACCTGATGAATTTACCAATCAATTACAAAGTGAGCTTAATTCTTCTCCTCAACCGTGTCTTATACCATTTCTTAAGGTGAGTTAACACATTAAATTAGTTTAGTTTCAAAATCTTCATAATCCTTCGTTTTATTATATTCGATTTACAGAAAAGTTTGCCTTATCTTCGACATTCATTAATGGTACACGAGACGGCGATCGATGGTGTCCGACCTCCTCCCCCTGGGTCAGTCCAATTACCTTTACAACCGCAATCACTTTCCCAAAACACCTTTCAGGTAAGGATATTGAAAGAGAAAAAGAGTTCATATGTCTAACGCATTTTACTAATTTTACTTTCTTTCGCACTTTCTAGCTCACTTCACAACCTAGACAAAATACCATCCGTGTACTTACAGCACCTCAGTTAGCAAGTTTGTCTAATTTAACTCAAGGAACCGTACAAATTACAAATATTCGTCCAACTACTAGTAGTTATTCATCAACATCTACGGCGACCACGATAACACCTGTTACTTCAGCTCAATTTAGCAAAATGCCTCTTATTTCACAAAATAATGCTAAAATTAGACCATCAGCAGCGAAAGCCCGCAATATAGCATATTCCAAAGAAAAAATAGAAAAGAAGGCTTTTGTAACTACGCTTCGCGACGATGATGATATTAATGATGTAGCCGCAATGGGAGGTGTAAATTTAGTTGAAGAAAGTCAGAGAATATTGGCCACCAATGCTGAATTCGTAGGAGCTCAAATTAGATCTTGTAAAGACGAAAATTTCCTTTTTACTAATCCACTTCAAAATCGTATTAATGAAATAGGTATGTGACCTGTTCTAAAGGCTTAAAAATTTTCTTTGACGCCTTTTTAGCTTTTTTATGCAATTTTTTTTATGCATCACTAAAATTGATTGTTTAATTTTAATATTCTATTATTTAGCTAAGAGAAATGGTCTTGATGACGTTCTTTCAGACGTAGTATCCCTAGTCTCTCATGCAGCGCAAGAGCGGTTAAAAACGTTAGTTGAAAAATTAGGAATCATAGCTGAACATAGGATGGAAAATTTTAAGGTTTGTAAAATCTAAATAGACCGAACTACTTGACCATAATATAAACGATTTTAATTTTAATTTATTTTTCCACAGAGTGATCCAAGATTTGAAGTAACTCAAGATGTTAGAGCGCAAACAAAATTTCTCGAGGAATTGGATAGATTAGAAAAGAAAAGGCATGAAGAGCAGGAGAGGGAGATGTTAATGAGAGCCGCGAAGGTAAGTGGGAATAGAGTTGATAAATAAAGAAAGAAACAATTTCATCTAACTTTAATTCTTTGATCTACAGAGTCGTTCTAAATTGGAAGATCCTGAACAACTTAAACTGAAGCAAAAAGCAAAGGAAATGCAGCGAGCTGAATTGGAAGAAGCTCGTCAAAGAGAGGCCAATGAAACCGCTTTATTAGCCATAGGTCCTCGTAAAAAACTTAAAACTACAAACGCATCAGATAATAGTCTAAATAATTCATTTATCAACAATTCATCTAATAATTCACAAGGCCTGTCATTTTTTTCCAGTACGCCAGCTAAGGCACAGGTAAATTTCAACAGATTGAATCTAAGATCTTTTATAGATTATCTCTTCAAACCATCATAACTTATTCTGATTTTTTTTCCTATTTATTCCAATTCGATAGATTCGTCGATTTAAACGAGTAAATATACGTGACCTTCAGTTTTTAATGGAACAAGAACGTGAAATGATTCGAAGTGTAATGCTTTATAAAGCATATGTCAAATAATATATTTCAAAGATTACAAAAGAGATACAAATCTAATTAATTCATAAATCAACTTTTAATAAAATTGGATGGTAGTTGATTAATCTACCAGAATATCACCAAAGGAGAAAACTCGAAAACAAAATGCTTTTCAATTTAAAATTTTCGAGGTATATTATGCATAGCCGAAAGTGTTTTCTTTCTTTACTGTTTTTTTTGGAAACTTTTAATAAGCAGAGCAACAATCTTGCTGGTCAAATAATCACATCGGAAATGACCATATGAACATGAAAGAAACACTGAGGACTTTATCTATAAATATATTGCAAACAAAATCTCAGCAACAAGAAAAAAAAGGAATGCATCTTAAATCTCACCATCTCTTGATCATCATCATCATCATCATAATCATTATAATCATCTTTACAATCACTACCTATCATCAAATTCATCATCATTAATTCATCCTCACACTAATAACCAACAATACTATCGTTTTCAACGTTTTCAACTTTTCGCTCAATATTTTCACCTGAAATATTAAATTTATGACAGGTTAAAACACTGAAAACAATTAAAATACAGAATGTCTTTTACTCCTTTTCATCCGTTTCTCTTTCAATCTCTCTCCCTTCTCTCTCTCTCTCTCTCTCACTCTTCTTCTACCATTGTAAATAATAATATTATTTCATTATTAATCTTTAATATTATTATATAAGAAACGAACAAATCAAAACTAGTTAATTTGGATAAACATTTAACAAACCCAATCTTTTGGTTGTTTCAAAATTTTCATCAATTTATCCTGATCACTTCCCTCAACAGGTGAATGCATATACTCCCATGAAGCATGAAGTGGAAGTGAGATTAGGATACTTTCAATTCTTGCTCCCGGTGTGGCAAAACCAAATTTAGTTCCTCGATCATAAACCAAATTAAATTCAACATAACGACCGCGTCTCAATAACTGCCACCGTCGTTGATCAGGTGAATAAGATTTCAAGTAATTAGCCTCAACCAATGGTAGATAACAGGGAATCACAGCTTGAGCACAACTCTTAATGAAACCAAAACAATCAGCTAATGAAGGTTTATTAAGGTCATCGAAAAATATTCCACCGACACCTCGACGTTCACCTCGGTGTTTAATGTAAAAGTAATCATCACATTCCGCCTTAAACTTGGGGTAATAACTTTTATCGTGACGATCACAAGCATCGGCGAGGGTTGAATGGAAGTGCTTGAAACTGTTTTCATCGTAAACATAAGGAGTTAAATCAGTTCCACCTCCGAACCACCATTCGGTTGACCCTTTTTGACCTTGAATTTCAAAGTAACGATAGTTGAAGTGGATTGTGGGCACATGAGGATTCCTTGGGTGAATGACTGAACTTATACCCGCTGCGAAAAAGGGCAACTCTCGACCTTCTTCAAGATCAATGTCTTTATGTTGTTTCTTCATCTGGACAACCGCTTCTTTGCTCAACTGACCAGTCACCACAGAGACATTCACGCCCGCCTTTTCAAACACTTTGCCGTCTTGGAGAACACAGGAAATTCCACCGCCTCCTTCTTTCCTTTGCCATCGATCAGCGACAAAACACCGACCAGAATATCCGTTCTGTTCGCTATCGACAATTGATTCATTTGATTTCTTTTCAATTGTTTCCAAAGCGACACAAAATCTTTTCTGAACCGAGAGTATAAACACTTCAAATATACTTCGAGTCGAAGAGCCAGTGGCTTTTAGTTCGTCTAAAGGTGTAATCGATTGATCCATAAACTCATCACATGTTAAATTCTGATCAACAGGTTCCATGATTATTGTAATTACCAAACAAAAGAAAACCAAAATAAACCAAAAAGTAAAACCAACACTCGGAAAAATGTTTTCTTTCTTTCCTTTCTTCAATCTCTAAGGCACTTGTAAGAACCTCCTCCAACCGGGAAAAGACAAATTAAATACATTAGATTGTTAATTGTTCTAATTAACTCAAATTCGAACAATTTTTCATTACGATCAACCGACAAAACTTAATTCATTGATGAAATAATTCTGATAATCTAATATTCAGTCAATCACTTGCACATCCCTCCGAATCTCAATCAAGTAAATTATCTAATCAAACTTGGGATTAGTATTGATAATCGTTTTTCCTTAATTTCTCAGAAATAATCAGAATTAGTTTTTTTGTTCAATTGTTACTAATAATTTGAGCCATTCGTTTGTAACAATTATCTTTTAATGATCCGAAATTTTCATTAATTTAAACTTCCATTTATTAAAATCTAACCTCATCTCTATATCGTTGGAAATGCGAATGGAGAAAAAAAATCAATTACAATTAAATTTGTTTTTTTTGCGGCGGAAGAAAAAAAAATTAATCAAATTTCAAGTTAAATCTTTGCATTTATCAACTAAACTGTTTAAAAACAATAATCTTAAAGGGGTTTTCATTTCTTTTCCTAGAGTTTATTGATGGTGAACAAAGAAATCAACCCTTTGTTGGACAATTTAATGTTAACGATTAACCGTTAACAAGCTGAAGATGTGAAAATGATCTGATCGAATTAAAATTTCAGTATGTTTATCAGCAGCCTTAATAAATTGTTCACCAATAATTAACAGACGAAAAAAAGAAGATAATGAAATTTATAGTTTGTTTTTTTTTTCATCAACTAATCGTTCTTTTGTGTAGATTTTTTTAAATTAAGACTCCATAGACTTTGTTGGTGTCAAATTGGGGGTAACCATATAACGTAAAGATCTTAATGATCTTTCTTATTTACATCTCGGTAAGCTATTCTTCGATAAACGATCGACGACCACAAATAACGTTTATAGTACCATGAAATTCCAAACAAACAAGATGAAATAATTGTCCACTAGAGAGAAAGAGAGAAGACAAATATATTAATGATTCTGTTGATTAATTGTATGGATTGTATTTTACCTTGAAAAGCCATTTCTTCCATTCCTCTAGTTCGGGAGTAGCGCAATAGGCCAAAAATTGAGTGACATCTTTAGCCATTTGACTGGATGTTGCGGGTGTTCCATCATCGTAATCAATTAATCCATTATACAAAGCTTGAGCCATGGCGATTGCATTTCCAGGCATATAAAGGTTAAAATGTTGATTCTCTCCTAATTCCACTCCTGCTGGTGGATCAACGTAACCTCGAAGTATACTGAATACATAATCCTCGTCACCCTCTCTTCCTATAGTTATGTTAGATAAATCTGGTGGGTATGCTCCTCCGTTGGCTGCTCTAGCAGCTTCTTCATTGGGATAAGGACCGGGAATGTAATCAGATAATTTACCCGGCCTTTGAAACATTTTACCAGACGAATCAGGTCCATCAGTGATTGTTGCCTAAATTAAAAGATAATCACAATAAGTATGAATTGTAAGAGCAGGAAAGAAAATGATGAAATCAGAGATTATCTGGAGATCATTTTTATTACCTCTGCAGCTTCTGCCTTAGCCTCTTCTTCCGACATGAAAACATTAACAAATTGTCGGTAGGCCACGAACCTAAAAAGTAAATAGATTTAATTGTTAAAATCAATGTTCTCAATTATCAATAATCATGAAACAGTGATAATTAGAAATTCATCTTACCGCAAACTGTGACAAGCAGCACATACTTGTTTGTAAACTTGCCAACCTCGTCGTAAACTATAAGAAAAATGAAGGTTAGTTTATATTATATTGTGATAATTTTGAAGTTTGGCCTACCCGCCGGCATCGTAAAGTCCAAAAGCCTTATCCATCTCTGGCTTCTTGAATGGAACCATGGCTATCATTTCTGGATCATGACTGTATAATAGAAAGGAGAGAAAAATAAGATCAATAAGATTGTATTCAAGAGGAACAACCCGATAAGCTCATATGAATTAGATCAACACGGCAGTTATATTAACTCAATTAATGAGAATTATTCCTTAGACTACCGTCTTTGGGTCAATAATCAAACACATAAATTCAATCTCATTGAAAGGATTAGTCATCAAAATTATTCCTCACCGGTGACCCTTGTGTGGCCATGGGTACAAAGGGGGATGCAAATCTAACTCGATAGCTTTGACAGATTCGTTAAGAGCATAAGCTAATCCAGCAGCTGCTGTGGCCAGAAATCCACCAGAAGTTAATAACTGAAGATGAGAATGGAAAAAAATAAAAAAAATATCAAATGAATATTACAGATCTATAGTAAATGAATTTGATGATGAGAAAGGAAACCAGAAGAGAGATGAAGAGTACTTACAATTTTCCTTCCTCGAGACATATCACGAAAGCTTGTGCTACTATTTGATAAGAAAACCTAGTAGACAAAGGATAAGAGAAAATTAAAGTAAAACAATTAGAATAAAATAAAATAAAAAAGGTAATTAATCAATGAAAGGTTAAAAAAGGTCATATAACTGGTTAACTGTTTACATCATTCACTTTTAAAACATAACAAAAAAGAGAGAAGATGAATACCAAAAGAAAGAGAAGGAGAAAGGAAAGAAAGAGAAAAATCAAAACCAAGAGATTTTCCTTTGATTGGGAGACACAATAAAAATTAACCTTCACTCACCTTTGGATGACTATATCCCTTAGCGAAATTGTTCAATACACTCTTACCAAACTGACCTAAAACGGGAGCCATGATCCAGCTAATTGTAAATCGAATTAAAAATATTAATTAATTAGTCAACTACAATCAAGAAAATTTTTTTTTCTCGATCCAATAACCGAAGGTAATTTCAAGAGCATGCGGACTCGGATAGAAAAGTATCCGAATCCCAAGGAGAAAATTCAATTTTTCCGCTAAAATTGAAATTCCAAGATGAAAAAATAATTAATTGTTCTGCTTGAAATTAACTTGGACTAACAATTAACGCCTTATGATTAACCATAGTCTCTTTTCTGATCGATAAATTGGAAGGACAATTAAAATTGAAGAGAATTGATTCCCTGTTAACTGTTATGAGTTTTCATTTGATTACAAATCTGTTGGAATTGTAATTAAATTGTAATTTGATATTCTTAGTCAATAAGGTTAATTGTAAACTTTAAATTGTCTCGTTAAAACTGTCATTTAGTTAATATAATTTCTGGAGTTTGGTTAATGTTTCTTTCTTATTAATTGTAATGAAAATGTTTCTTTCCGTTGTTTACCTTATCATCGTTATCGTTGTTAATCATTCAGGTAAATATTCAAGTTAATTGTTGATCGAAGTTGCTAATTGTAATTGTAATTTTAATTTCATTTTGTTTTTTTTAATTTGTTTGTTTTTTTTTCAAATCATTTAGAAACCAAAGCGATTGAACCAGAAGACAAACCTTCAACTCCAAATGATTCAGATAATAGTGATTATCAAATTGTCCAACAAATTAAGACTCTGCCTGGTAAACAATCAGCTAATGATGTGAAGAAACGTATTGCTGAAATGTTCAAAGAGTGTATCAATAGCTATAAGGAGAAATTAACTAATTTAGTTAATTACATCGAAGCTAATTCTACTGGTGGAGAAAATAATTTCGTTGTTAGATTGATTAGAGAGAAAATTAAATTTCTCGATTTTATTGTCAAGTTGTAATAAAAAAATTTCTCTCAATCAGTTAATCTGATTGTCAATTTCCAATTGAAAACAATTAAACATTTTGGATTAAAAATCAATCCTTGTTCAATCAAACGACAGTGAACAAATTTGGTTATTTGATTCCAATTCTTAACAATTAACTTAAATATCAATTTTCAATCTTAACAATCTGTTCATTTTCAAGTTAATCATGTTGAAAGTTTAACTAATTTGTTGCAATCAGATCTGAGTGATTATTTAGCATTTTATTGAATTGAAGCAATTAAAGTAAAGAAAAACAAAATCAAAATGGTTAATTGTGGTGATTTAACTGTCTTCCAATTATTGATGTAATAAAAAAAAATGACGAAAATTAGTAAATTGTTGTTTTTGATCAATTTTTATTTTCTAACCTTGTTAATTACAGTAAACGAATCAGGTAAATGATTTGAATCGTTGTTAATTGTTGATTCTAATTCTAATCGTTGTTGTAAATTCTTTTTTTCTCAGAATTATATGAATTCTTTAATAATCAATTGAAATCTGAATCAGCACATACTCTTGATCCGATTGTAACATGTTCACCAGGACAAACACCTTCGATTGGCACAGAAACAAAGACAATGACCACTGAACAAATGACTCAACCCTCAAGTCCATCATCAGAACTTCCACCGGACTCTGGATCATCAACAGTTCCAATGCCACCTTCCTCTCCCTCTCCGTCCACCCCAACCACGAATACCTCTTCAAATACTCCACCGCCAAGTACCAACCCATCGGAACCACCGAACTCCTCATCTTCCCCCTCACCTCCCGATCAAAGTGTAAAACAATGTTACTTAGATTTCAAAGAAACTCTTCAAATATTAAGTGAATTTTTCTCAACTGAACAGGGTGAAACTTTATTCTTCTCATTAGTTTCCAAAAAATTAGAAACATTAAAAAATATAATCGATTCCAAATGAAACCAAATCGAATCTCTAAGAAAATTTACTCAGCAATCTGGAGATTAACAAAATCCATTCAACAATTGGAATAAAATTCTAATGAAAGTGCTTGAAAATACCATAAACAAACAAAGAGAAAAGTCAACAACAATTAGAAATTAAAATCAATTTTAATTGCAAAAAGAAACAAAAATCAAACGAATGAAAAAAACCGCCTCAAGTTCATAAAATGAACAAACCAAAGGAAAGTTATTGTTTATCTCTCTCTCTCTATGTGATTATCTTGATGCTATTTGTTAGTTAGTAAAATCATAGTGTTTTTGTATTTGTAAATTGTTGTTTGTCATTTAATCATTTTCCTTGTTCAATATTAGTTAATTGTGATTGTTAATTGATTGTGTTGAAATTGAAAAAGATGAAAATATTTGTCTTTCTTAGATAAACATTAACAAGCCTCCCGAAGGAACCAAAAAATGATGAAGGTTGTCACCTATTTTCCCACCAAATATTGTCACCGAGCCAGTTAATAAGACACAATTAAATTTTAACCTTCATTGTTAATCTTGACTTCATCTAATTAAGTATCAACTGTACTCTTATAGATTCTCATTTAATCATCTTCTAACTGTGAACAATTAAACCGATCACCATTAGTCAACTAACATTAGGTATATTTCTCCTTTCAGCTGTTTTCTATTCTCTTTTCTCTCCAATTCTTTCAAGTTTATCTTTCATTTCTCAAACCTTTTTCTTCTCTCTCTCTCTCTCTCTCTCTCTCTCGTTTTGACATAACCTAAATAACTTAAATAGCATAGAATTTTGTGTGTTTCTTATCCTAAAGTTGGTGTGTTTTCTTATTTTCTATTAGGATTTATATTATTACATGGGTAACGCTCAAGGTACCAGGCGAACTGGTCCTGGACCCACTTTTGATTATGTTTTTGGTCCCGATAGTGGACCTTGTCCATTTAAAGTTCCCAAGCTTCATCGACTTGTAAGACAAAGTGATCATGGTAAATTGGCCAAATTAATTGCCGCAGGTGATAATGTTGACTCTCAAGATCAAGATGGAATGACACCTTTACATTATGCCGCTGCCCAAGGTGATTTAATTTCGGTTCAATTGTTAACCGAAGCTGGTTGTTCCCAAATACCATGTAAATTAAACATCTACCCGATTCATTTGGCTGTTCAAAACGGTAATCAACAAGTTATACAACAGATACTTGATTATGGTGGTAATGTTGATAGTTATGATTCCATGGGTACAACACCTTTAGGCCTGGCAATTGAATTTGATTCTCCTTCAGTGGTTTCCCTATTACTCCAACGAAAAGCTTTCCTAGACTCTAATTATCTCCTGGAATCAATTCGTCAAGGTTTACTGGAGATTACAAGAATATTGATCAACTTTAATCCTTCACTAATCAATAATCTTAAATTGGACAGATTCCGTTTCAATTCAAAGTCAACCGATTGTCTTAAACTACTTTACCTGGTTGGGTACAAATTTGACAATAATTTTTCCATCCTTAATCAATCTGAACTGCGATTTACCTCGTGCCATATTGAATACATTGATCGGCAATATAAACATGAAATGACCGCTTTCCATGAATTCCTAGAATGGATGAAAAATCAACAAAAACCCATGAAACTCAAATTTTTGGCCAGAATTGTTTTACTCAAAGCCTGTGGAAGCCAAAGTATTGACAATTTCCTTGACGGTTATCCACCAATACCACCAACCATCAGAGACTTTGTTTCCCTTAGATGGTTATTATGATTAATCACAAGCGATTAACCTTTCATATCAATTACCAATTTGTACAAACAAATTAACCCCATTTAGCTGTTATGATCTGTAAATTGTGCTTTGCAACCTCTCAACGTTAACTAAATTAGTGAACAAAGAAAAACAAACAATTATATTGTTATAATTTATAAAATTGTATAAAATATACAAAGACACCAAAAAAACCTTTGTTAATTTGGAGACAATTATAATTGAAACATGTAATCAACTATTTTTTCATGTTCCATTTGTCTCAAAGTATGTGACGATCCCGATGATTTAGTCACAATAATAAATTTTGATTGTTGAGGATTGAATATGTAAAACGAGACAATATCGTATATTGATCGGTCGAAACAATTAACTTTATAATTCATAAATATGTTTAATTATGTAATATTCACGAGAGGCCAAGGGAATGGCAACACTGATTCCAAGCAATTGAATGATTGCAATTGGTAATTCGAGAGATGTCTCAATCAAAGGATAAACTGAATGTCTTTCATCTGCAATTAGATCAAGTAGATTGTGATTAGATTTTCAATTGTTGGTTTAATTTGAAAAATTCTCACCAAGTAACATCCATTTCATACAGATCCAAATTTGCATGATCGCTTGAAGTGGAGTCATCAAGAGGTAAAAGGTCAGGGTGATGTACGAAGTGGTCTCTACAGTTGCTCCCATGATCGCAAAAATGGCCGTCGTAAAGATCACCGAGGAATCGATGAAAGCCTTGAACGCGGAAACCGAATCAGGAATCGATGTTTTCGTCCGTAAAGTGTCACAGAAAAAGGCATTTAGAGCGATTGTGACCAAATGGAAAATTATCTTAATTGTTGACAAGATGATCAACATAATTCCATAGGAAAGTAAATAGTTTTCCGCCCATTTCTCTAGAATAGGGTCGAAATCAATTCCCATTGATCACTAAATTACACGACAATTTAAAGATTAATCAGAAACGGGAAGAAAAAAATTAATTAGAAAATCAAAAGTTTATAATCCCTTTCAACACTAAATTAACAATTAGCCTTTTATTATTCTTACTAATCATCTAATCATTTACGTGATTGACGCTAATTGATATAACCTTTGTGATTATCCAATTCGTTAATCATTACTATTTAATTAATTGTTTCCAAGATGAAATCAATGAATTCGTGTTTAATTGTTTCTGTTTTCATTGGTATGACTTTCATTCTGGTCTCATTATTAACCGTTAATTGTTTGCCCTTTGATCTAAATATTGATCAAAATCAATTTAAGAAATCAATTTCTACCCTGGATAATGATAATGGTGATCAATCGCTGTCATTTAATGATAAATTGTCTAGAGTAATCAAATTATTTAATCAACTATTCCAACAGATAATTGAAATGTTTCAAAAAGATAATTTAATGAAAATTTTTGGTGATTTGGCTCAATTTTTATTTAATTTAGGTGATTAACATTAATTGGATAACAAACAGGATTTCATTGTTTCATTGATTAACAAGTAATTTATAAAAATTAAGTGGCTAATGACAATTAATTAACCCCACATATAATAATGATTATGGAATGACAATAATATTAAATAATAATAATAATAATCTTAATATAAATGATAATATATATTAAAAAAGTATTTCAAACAAATTGTTGTTGATTAATTGTTGGGAAAACCGGATAAATGGAAAGCAATTTAAAATAATTAAGAGTTAGCGAAGTACAAAATTAAATTGGCAAAAGTGGAAGAGGACAAATTATGTAGATGATGATGAGAAATGATGATGGCGAAGTTAAATTAATTGTAGATGATTAATTGATGCTGGTAATTTTTGCTCTTTGTCAAATTGAATTGATGATAAATTGTAGCAATTTGATTATAACTCGTTGGCTGAGCCTCTCCAAGAAGTTGGTCCATAAATACTGTAACCATGATAATCAACCGGCGGGTGGGGAGGAGGAGGTGGAGGCAGAGGATGAGGATGACCTGGTAAATGAGGTGAATGTACAATAGTTGGTGGTGGGAGGTGGGCAGGAATCACTGGATGAGCTGATCGTATGTGGTGGGGATGATGGTGTGGGTGGTGATGAGAGTGATTATTATTGTGATTATTGTGTTTATTAGTCTTGGAGATTAACCCATTGTTTTGTTTTCCACCCCCACCAACGACCAAACCAACATCTTCCGCTCCCCTTTCATTTGGACCATTACCACCGCCACCGATTTCACCATATTGACGGGAATTGTAACGATTCAGTTCATCTTGAGTGTCAAATATCATAACGGCAAATGGTGAACCAGGAACATGTTTCCCTGAATATTTAACTTCGATATTGTAATCACCAGGCTCCGTTGGATCATATTTGCATAAAATTATTCGGTCATTTTGATTGACACGTTGCATGTCCGCTCGAAAAGCACCTAAGGTTAAGAAAGTAGAGAAAAGAGTTAAAATTATGAATTATCGATTATTTGAAAGAAATTTTCCTCGAAAAAAACTCACCTCTTGGTCCTCGTATTTGAACGGTAAGGTCACCATAACCTGCACCTCGAGTATCACAGATAAATCTACTCATGTACAGTGGTAAAACTCCGTGTTCAATACCCGGTCCATGGACGCGAACCTTTGAAGCATCCGGAGAACCAGCGATTTTCAAAGTGAATGGACTTCCTCTGATATTTTCCCCTCCATATTTAATGGTCAGTGAATGTTTACCAGGTTCTTGAGGTTTAACAAACAAATTAAAGGTTCCGTCCATTTGGTCAAGTAATTCACAAAAGGCCACTTTATTTGGACCAATACAATGAGCCGAAAGATCACCTGAATAAAAGGACAAGAAACAAGGAAGAAAAAAAAAATTCATGAAAACTCAATTACAAAGAAAAACCAATCAGACCAAATCGCTAATCACTGACCAGGTCCAGCTCGTCTTGTATCAATGAAAACCTTAATTTCTTGATCAATGGCACCTCCTTTAAGTCCTTCTCCTGAACATAATACCCTTGAAGCGTCACAACGAGGTAGAATCGAAACCTTTAATGGACAACCTTTGACCTGTTTACCAGCCCATAAAACATTGAGCAAATAAGTTCCTGAGAGAAAGGCAGAAAAAAAGAATCAAATAAAATTTCAATTAAATTGTCTCAACTTGATTAACCTTCTTAATATTTCAGGTATTTCTTTTTAATTACCTTGAATTGTTGGTGTGTAAGTAGCTTTAAATATCCTATCATTTATTTGGGTTACTTTAATTGGTATATCGGCTTTGACACCATTCAATGTGATTTCCGGTGTCCCCGAACCGGCATCAGTTCCGTCCAGGATAAATTGTGTCTCTTCACCCACCCTGGCACCGGCTAAACCTTGACCTCGGAGGACAACGGTTGCACACTCATCACCATTGCGAATACAATTGGTCACCGCAATTAACGGTGATTTGGGTAATCGATGATCACCAAAATTCAAACGAATCTGATATTCACCTAAAAATGGAAATACAAAAAGTTTTGATTACATATTAATATCTAATACAATCTAATCAAATCAATCAGACAAATTTTAGGACTTAAATTACCTTCTAGTTTCGGGGTTAATGATAATCTAAACTTGTGTGGAGCAGTTTGTTCAATCATAGCGGGTTCGACTTTATCATCGGGAAATTTAACAAAACCAGATAATTTACCTGAGAATGAAAAAGTAACAGTTAACAATAAGAGCTAATTTATATTTTGATTAATCAGTTAATTACCTGGACCAGCTCCAGTTACATCAAATGAGATGCGTTTCTTTTCATTTAATTGTAGCATTATTTGATCGGATGAATTGAAAATCGATTCCCAGCCTCCAATCGGACGAACCTGATCGAGGTTCAATATCTTCGGGTGGAAAGGTGAACCTTTGGAAAGAAATAGATTATTGATAAATTGGAAAATTTTCCAGGGTAGATTGATGATTATCTTACCTGGGAGCTCTTTTCGATTCCACAAAACTCGAACATCGAAAATTCCGACCTCAGTTGGAACAAAAGAGACTCTGAACATTCCGTTAGTTTCTTCCATGTCAACAGTCGGTTCTGAATCAGGACCATCGATTCGAACTTCAGGGATCCCTTTCAATTCTCTTGCATCAATAGTAAATTCGACGAGTTGATCAACGAAACCTAATTTAAGTCCATTTCCTTCAATGATCGGCAAATTTCCTTCTTGGGCGATAAAAGTTACCGGACTTCCTGGGATTTCAATTCCACCGAAAGTAATGGCGATCTTATATTTTCCAGGAACCGTTGGGATAAATTCAATTATTTCACCTTCACCATCGGGAGTTCCCTTTACTTCAATAGGTAAATGCCGTCCAAGTGGACTTGTAACGGTGAAGTCGAGCTCAGCATAACCGGCATCCTTACGATTAACTAATTAACCCAATGAGATGACAGGAAAAAAAACAAATTAAAGCCACAAAACGATATAAAATTATGATCTTAAGCTGATAAACTTACGAGTGAAAAATATTTTCTCATTGACGATGAAATTAGTTGATTTGATTCGTTGTAAAGTGACCTTAGAGGCATCAAAAACTTCACTGGTAAATGGTGATCCAGTTATACTAGCGTCTTGATAGAGGACATCAATTTTATGGGGACCTTGATAGTTAGAAATACATGGAAAATTAGTAAATTGTTACAATCAAGTGTTGAACTTTGATGAAAATTTACCAGTTCTCTGAGGAGTAAACTCTGCCAATAAAGAGCCATCTTTTTGTTGGTAACATTTAACATTTAACGGAGATCCATTTGGATCTGTAACAAGTACGTCAAAATTTTTGGCCGCCGCAAATCCACCGGTTTCAATTAGGAAGGTCGCTGGTTCTTCGGGTACACAAGACTTAAGTGCTGGTCCATGGACGATAATTGATTTGGTTGGATCACGAATCTCAACCATTTGTGGACATCCTGGTGCTTGATGGTCATTGTAACGAACATCAATATAATGAGCTGAGTCCACTTTGGGTGTGTAAGTAACAAGGAAAACTCCAGTCGAAATCTCTTTGATACAATGGGTCACCTCGGCATCGGAGGCCGTTTTTATGTTCACCGATAAATTACCACGACCCGCCCAAGTACAATCAACTAAAAAAATCGAAAATAAAATCAAAGGTTACAATTGATTCTCAAGTTAAAATCTAATTGATTTCAACGCACTTTTGAATATCTGTTCTCGACCAACTACTCCATCTTGTACATCAATTAGCTTCACTCGACTTGGATCACAAATCTCAATGAAACTCGTTTTCTCAGCGACTAAATTTCCTTTGATAAATTGTTCGATCCGATGAAGTCCAACCTCTTTAGGCACAAATTCAACCTTAAAAGTTGACGAATCGCGAGTTACTTTAGATATGATCGGAGTTTTCTGTGGACCTAATATCATGAAAAGGAAAATTACCAAAAAGATACATTAAATTGTGGAAAATTTTAAAATGACAATAACGAGAACAATTAAAAGACTTACCAACAACCTTAACCTCCATACTTGGATCGATAGTATCAATGATCGCGATGTTACTTGAACCGACGAGTCCATTTTTGGGAATCAAATCTTTCATCTCTATTTTAAAAGGGCTTCCTATTGATAGTATAAAAAGGAGAAACGAAAGACAATTAGTAAACTAAATTAACTCAAATCAACTAATAAGTGGAAACAATTTAATTACCTGGGACGTCTTCCTCGTTGAAAATTATTCTAATATAATGAGATATTTTTTCTTGTGGTATAAAGGTAACATCATAAAGACCTCGACTTTTCATATCAACTTCAGGTCGAATTCCCGTTTTCCGGTTAGTAACCAGAATTTCCAGAGTACCTTCACCCGCTTCAACGGCATCAACTGTAATCAAGATGAAAATAGTATCAAACTAATTAATTGAACAATTAAAACATTTTCA